TTTCAAGAATGTTTTTTTTTCTTGAACCATTACACCAAATATTTAGAGTCTTTTCTGCAAACAAGGGTGCTCCCTCACTAGACCGAAATATAACTACCCAGATCAGGACATTAGCCTTGATGTGTCTCTATCATCAAATCTTCAGATCCTGCTCAAGTTTTGCCAGCCTCCTTGGGAAGGAAAGTATCTGTCCCAGGGCTACACACTGCACTGGTCTGGAGAAATTTTTGTCCTTCATAGTTTCATAACTTTGTCGTGCAATTGATTTTATAGGTTGTCTCTTGGCTTGAGGCAGTTTTGGTGTGTGTTTATGTTTGATCAGGTTGTACCCTGGGGGGAGAATACCACTGAAATGATGCAGTGTTTATTTGTCCCAATACAGGGGCAGCGCTCACTTTGATCACCTGATCACTTGACAAGGTCGAGCCTCCCATGGCTTTCCATTACAAAGCCATACTCTTCTGCCTTATGGTTGTTAAAGAGTTTGGGAAAAGTTACTCTGAAACACTAGAAATATTCTCTTTCTTTTCAAACTTTCAATTATTCCTTTGTTGATTTACATGGAATATTTTCCTATTTTATTCAGTGGGTTGCAATACATTATTGCTGCTTATTTTGAAGCTTAAATTGTCCTAGATTTGGTAGTAGATATCTCTTGCAAGTGGCTTCTGTGTCTTTTGACCTAGTTCTCTTCCTCTCTCCTCTCTGCATCACTACAAAGACTGAGCCACGCATGTTCAAACACATTTGCAGGTGTTTTATTTCTCTATTTGTTTTGATTAAAAATTGGAATATCATACCAAGCCCTCCACTCCAGACCAGTGCCATCAGATTTTCTCCTTTCAGAATCTGTAACAGTCTTCCCTGATGACAGGACATCCAGTTACAGGTACTGCTGAATCTCGCTTGCTCAGTGTTTCTGTGCAGGGCCCTTTTGCTATAATGGCTGCCTTCTTCAGTAATTTCTTGTGTCACTTGTGTTTGTTCTTTGAATTATTTTTTCCAAGTAGCTCACAGCATACTTTGCATGATAGTAACTTTCTTTTCCAAATGTTATTCCTCATGTCTTGCTTATCTCATTGTATTGTCTGAAACTTCTAGAATTCCATTAAACAATAATCGGAGTAATAACTTTATGGGAATGCTTCTTGGGTTTCCCATTTATCTCACAGGTGACTTTTGGGGAGAGAGGTGAATAAATTTCATCAAGGTGACAATTCTGAAGTGGAACCTCACCCCCTTGCACCCCAGTGTTAAACTTCTATTTGGACTCCTGTTGGTCTTGAGGAGTCCTTAAGTCTCTTCATGTGGCCTGGGAGACCCCGCTTATTCCCATTTCTGCCTTCTCCAGCCTTGACTCAACTATTTTGTTAATCAAGAGTAGATGTTGAAAATAGAATGTTTATCAAGTTGTTTTCCAGTTCCTATAGAGATGATAAAGCTCCTTATTTACCAGGAAACCACAGATTAGACACACTGGAGTTTTTCACATCACTTGGTCAGGATTAAGGAATCTCAAAGGATTGAGTTCACTCCTCCTCTTTCTGTGTCAGTTGTAACCCCTTGCCACGTGACACTTTGGTGTAGCATGTCTGATTTTACTCCTCCCTGGCCAAAAGAAAATCAATTTCTCCAGTACCTTTGGCCCAAGTTCTAGAAATCTGTTTTGGGTAAGGGGCTCACTTGTGCTGGAACAGACCTCCGGAGTTGTTCTGGCATGTTGATAAGGCTGTCTTCATGCTTGCCAATGAGAACTGCTTCACCGATTGTGCCTCAGTGGGTTTAATATTGATTCCTTACACATAAAACCAATGCCTTTGCCTTAGGTACACTGGGTTTAGTGCCGGCCCAGCTGTAAATTCCTGCAGCACCCTAGATGTCTTGCCTCCCCATGAGTCCTCTTGGCCTGTTTCTTAAACAGCCCCTTAGAGCAGATGGCTCTGTGATTTTCTCTTGGAGCAGGAGCTCTCCAAGACTGCTCCTCTTTGTCTTGGCCTTTCTGTGCCACCTTCCTGTTGCTTCTGAATGATGACCAGCATCCTTACCTGCATCTCCCCTTAGTTTTTGAAGTCTCTGATGCTCTTATTGCCTGGCCTCTGCACCAGATAGCTCTCATCTTTTAGGGAGGGCAGCAGAGCATGGCTTTGAGGAAGGCCATGTGAGATCCAGGAGGAGACATGTGTGGAAGCAGGTGCTCATCTGCTTGTTCCTTGAATGGGACATGGCACTTGCTTCTCTTTTCTGTGACCAAGTGGAAGCTGGTCAGGCTGGGAACAGTAGCACCTGGGCAAGCACTGCAATGTTTCTATGCAGCACAGCAACCAGAGCCATAGTTCAAAATCAGATGCCTGCTGTCAAGGAGGATGCTCAAGACAGTTTTCTTCTTTCTGTCCTATGTCCTTCCTGTACGCTTGCTCATCCCTGATTTAAATTATCGCTCTTTTCCTCGTTTGTTGATAAAAGACTTTTCTATAGTTTAGGGGAAAAGAGGTCAATACCAGTGGTTTTCAAAATTTTGGAGGGCTAAATAATTTGATTGTTTAGAGTCAAGATTCCTTTTCTACTAAATGTTGCAGCTTGTGACCCAGGCTCAGAGGTGATAATCAAAACCCAGGACCTCTATGCAGATCTCTGGGACCCAGTGGGGTCAACGGGCACATTGTTCCCTTATATTTTCTGCTCCCTCTTGTTCTAGGAGCTCAGCACTCCCATTTCGGTCTCTTCTCTAGAGAGTCTCAGGGCTGCTGAGGGCTCCCCTACCACATCTGGTTTCACTTCATCTCACCTCCACACCCTCCTGGGTTTAGTTTTTCTTATCTATTTATTTTAGACCTTATTTTTTCTTGCTCTACTGTGTACATTTTTATAAGCTGCCTACAATCTCTTTTGGCCTAGAATCAGAGTACAGAAACACGAATACCCACAGGGAAGAGAATAAGAACACTGGACTTGTGGTCTCCTCTTTCACTCAGGTATGTGCTGGTTGTCCCTGCATCCCAGGCCCGCAGCTGGCAACACTCATAGACACAGGACAGTGCCTCAGACTGCAGTGAGAAGCTAGTTAAGGACATGGATGCAAAGGAGAGAATGAGCAGAGTGGTGTTAACTCAGTTGGGTGTGAAAACCACACCCGCTGCTTGATGCAGTGTGCAGGAGACCACTATCCCTGACAAGCATAGCCCACAGTGACCCTGGCTCCCTCAAGCCACCCCTGGGAGCAGAGTGGGAAGGCAGCATTCATTTTTTAAACATTCTTTTATTGGTACATTTTAGGTAAACAATATGTTTACATTTATCATTGGGTGCTTGTACCTGTACATGATGTATCTTGGTTCTTATTTTTCCCC